TGTCTCCAGTTGGAAACAATGCATTCTTTGAATAATTCCCATGGTCAAGTTCAATAAACACAGCAGCTTGTTAGATCTGTTAAACATCGATTATCGATATCGATATCGGTTCGCGTTTCGCGTATCGATTCAGTTCATCGATTCAACGCAGCAATCGCGTATCGATTCAACACAGCAACGCAACGCGTATCGATTCAACGCAGCAACGTACMAATTCAATGCAACGCAACAGGAACTTACAGGAGTCCACCATGGTGGGGGGGGGAGGTTGGTTAGTTTCGTTGAGGTCTGTTTAGTTCACRACAGCTCTTATTCATTAGTTTAGCAGTAACAGGAAATAGTGAGCAACAACTAAAGCAGCGCAGTTCCTTGTTAGCACGCATTGCACCGTGTTGTTCTCTATTTTGCTGATAGTTCTCTATTTTGCTGATAGTAACAATGATAACCGGGACTAGAAGTATACCAATGAAAACCGGGATTTCAACGGAACTCGTATTAGGCACGTGATGCAATCCCACGAACCGGGGTTCGCCTTCAAAACACATGCCGGTTGACTTCAAAACACATGCATTGATCGGCACTCACATGCACTGATCGGCACCCACATGCATTGGTTGCATCATACATCATCTTCATTATGTTATATATATCTTCCGTCTTTGCGCTTAAGATATTTGTCTTCATTGCAGTATATTCCGGTTACAATGGATCCCACGAAGGGTATGCATGAAAGCCCATCACTCCCAGGAAAGGTATGCAAGAAAACCGATGTTACTACTAGCACCACAGAAAACTACGGCAAAAATTTGGAACAACACGGTGTAACGCGTAGTACGAAGGAACTGATTGCTAATCGATTAGCTCATTATTTTGCTTTTTGCTCCTGTTTGCTGTATGTTGAATCGTAACCGTGTAATTGTGTAGTCCTCGTTAATCAGTGCTAACAAAAACATCGAAGTTATTTGCTTTCACCATGGGATTCAGTTGATTCAGTCCGTGGGCGCTTGTTAGTACTGCTGGTGAGCGCCAACGCCACTGTGGAGGCCATCGAGGACGCGATTGTTTGAGCCATGGTAAGCCAACGTTCGTCTCTTGCCTCTTYGCGTTTCACTCTTGCCTCTTCTCTTGCAGCTTCCCTCTCATCAGCCTTCCTGTCTCTTTCAGCATCCCTCTTATCCTGATTCATGAGGTAACTCTTAATCACAGCATCCTGTTCAGCAATTTCCTTCTTCACTCTTCCATAAGATCTCTTCCTTGGAGTTGCTGCTGTCACGACAATGGGTGCATTCGATTCGGAAGTCGACGCTGTCAATGCTGTTTTGCTCGATTTGCTTGCTTTTGGAGTAGCGTACTGCAAGGCCTCCTCATCCAAGTCCTCATCATCCTCATCATCGATGAAGCCTTTGACTGGATCAAAGGTCTCCTCTCCATTACCAATATTTGCCTTAATCCCTATCAAGTGATGGGCTTCTCTTGCAAGCCTGACGGACTCTGGAATATTTGGATTTCCAGTCGGTGCCTTCTGCCTCCTCAATTGATTGAACTTGAGCTTAATGGATTCCTTGCTCCTACCATAGGGCCATTCTTGTCCATGTCTGTAAACCACCATATCCCAATCACTCTTGCCAATGGG